CATTGAAATGTTGACCTGATGATGACGTTATATGAAAATAGTAGGGGATCACAATAGGTATCACAAGTCATTCTTAGTGGGGCATGAATCCAATCCAGACATTACATTCAAAACCACTCAGCGCTTGCGTGAAAGTCAACAAATTCACTAACATTCAAATTCTTAAGACCATTGTATGCCATTGCAATAGGATTAAACTAAAACATTTTTTCAGTCTGGAACAATTCCACAATCTATTAATTCCACTTTCACATAATGTTATCACAGGAACACTAGAGGGTATAGAGAAGACATACAGTATCTAGCAATGCATGACAAAAAGAAGAGTAGGAGGTTATAATGATTTCTCTAGCAGTACATGTTGGTATTAAAAGCTGGCAGACATAGATATATCTTAGTGTTATATCAGAGCACTGCATCAGAAGGATTTGTGTGTTGAGTTTCTTGGAGAGCTCTGAGGAATCTGGGAAGCTGCCATCAAACCAAAACGGTGTCACAGGAGGAGGTGGGTAATAAATTGTTAAGATTATGACAGGGAGTTCCTCCAGAGCATATAACAGCTCGCTCTATAGGCTTCTGGAGGAAGAGGAAGTGAAGAGGGGGAAGATGTCTTTCATCATATATATGTCAACCTTTAAAATATGCGTGTGTTCCTGGATATATATAACGACCTTTCCCTCTGTACTCTACTTTAAATGGACGTTTTGCTTCTGTGTAAAGTGCAAAACTCTAAATCTTTCATGGTTTCATGACCTTTTCTTGGAGTAGTCCCTTTTCAAGGATACACTTAACGACATACAGAAGATATAGTAGTGCGGGGACATGGTGGTTATACCATATATTTTCACTATGTTATTTATTTATGATTATCCTTGGGCTCAGCAAAGATTTGATGTCAGCTGTTGCTGTCTTTTTTTCTATAGTTAATACTGAAATAGAGCCCAGCTGTTTTGTCAGGGCCTTTTCTTTAAATATCATTTTAAAATGTCGATACAGTAGCCCCTTTTTTAAAATGTCTATGCTTAAGTTTTTATAGGTGTTGCTATCTGCTTTGTGTAGCGTGGTTCTACAAGCAAGTCTGTGCATTCATTGGGTGGTATCAGATAGATACAAGGGTCTGTAAATGCAATGAAAACAATTGGCCACAGCAAATAATTGATATTAAACATGTAATTTTTACTTTTGAATACTTCAGTACAAAGGATGTATTGAATAATTTAAGTGATATGTGTACACATATAAATCATTAGTCAAAACAGGGCTACATTTGATTGAATTATAAAAGGTATAATATGTGGTAAACTGAAGAGCCGTTTGGGAGCCGAAAGAGCCGGCTCTTCTTGGTGAGCCGAGCCAAATGATCCGGCTCACCAAGAAGAGCCGGAATTCCCATCACTAGCGTGGTGAAGTGAAGACATGTTCTTGTAGTCAGACCCCTACAAGTTAGTATCGGTTAGCAGGTCACATGACTTCACATCTCCAATAGTAAGCTTAAAGCGCCTGATGTTTGGCGTGATGACGTTTAGCATTCTCATTTAGCCACTTGTTAGCAACCGCCCATTTTTTAAGACATTTAAAAGCTAGGTTTTTATGACATATTTTATGTCGTGGAAAAACACATGAAAATCCCTTCAGCTTTTATTAACCACATATCTTATTTCAGGCATCTAACCAAAAACATATCCAAAACATTGATTCAAGACAAGGGAACAGGAAGTGCTCAAATACTAACTAATTTCCAGGTTTAGAAATCCTTGCACCAATCTATATAGAAGGTAATATATCTGATTCTGCTGCATCAATTATAAGCAACTTTCCATCATTAGTCCAACATGTGTCACTGCAGTTCTCTTTGCTGCTGGATACTCAACCCTTAACATCTGCTAAGCAACAACACACACAACAGCCTCTCCAATCAAATCATGACCTGATTGTCCACTCACCAAGTCCTTGGTTGTGCCGAGTCTCTTCAGCCCGTCCAGGGGCAGGAGGTCAGCCGAGTCCTTGTGTGAGAACTGGGTGGCCTGCTTCAGACGCCTCTGCTGGTGCAGGATGGCTTTATCCCGGATGGCAAGCCCACCTTTCTTCGCCTCACTCATGTTCTTGGTCTGTAAAGCAGTCTTTTGTGGAGACTATAACCTCAGCAGCAGCAGCAGCAGCAGCAGAGAGAGGTTTCTGCAGACAGAAAGAGACAGAGTGTTCGTATGCAGAGAGGCTGAGAATCCCCAGAAGGCAGCTTTTTTAGGATTGCTTTCGGTCCTTTTTAAGCACCAGAATAAACCTTCCGCCCTGTTCTGTCCTTTCTGAAATGCCCTTCCCTCTGGGCTCTGTCTTTCTCTCTCTGTGTGTGTAGTCCTGGCATGTATTTGTCTCTTGCAGATTTAGGAGCTATTGTCCTGTCCTCTGATGAAGACATGCATCTTCCTCCTCACACTGTCAAGATCTGCCTCAGTGTAGCAGAGGCTGTGTGGAAGGTGTGAGTGAGAGTGTGTTATTCCCCCTCCCCTCAGTGCCGTCTGTCCTTGGATCTCTCTCTCTCTCTCTCTCTCTCTCTCTCTCTCTCTCTCTCTCTCTCTCTCTCTCTCTCTCTCTCTCTCTCTCTCTCTTCTCTCTCTCTCTCTCCTCTGATCCCACCTCTTTCCGTCACACACTCAACAGACGCATGCTCACCTCCTAAATACAGAGCACATTTCCTCATTTGACTCTCAACTGAAAAAACCCAAAGAAAAAACACTGTATACTGTACATCAAATACATACATAAATAAATGCACTTAAAATGTGGGCTGTAACTGGCAATTATTCTCACTGTCACTGACTTTCTAGATGAATTGCTTGATCTTTAATATCAGGAATGAGTTAAAAAGGTCCATCCCAGTTTTCAAAAGTCCAAGGTTAAATGTTTTATTTAGAAAATCCCACAGATTTTCGGTTTATTATGACATAAATATATAAGCCTCACATATCCATATCTGAGAGGCTGCAAACTGCATGTTCTGCCAAATGTGCATGGAACATCACAACTCATTCACAGTATATATCCCTGAAAATACTGTCATCCATTCAGTTAAATAAGATTCTCTGTGTCTTTTATTCTTTACAGAGATGTTTCACCATGGTCTGTCACTCTGTATCTCGTCTCACAGCCAGCACAGTTTGATGTATTGCTCCCTGAGCAGTGATGCTGTGTAGGTGTGAGATCACTGTGGTCCGGCCACAGGATCAATCTCCTCTGATTGATGATAACAATTGATTTCCTCCTCCCCCGTTGCAGCCACTGTGAATTAGAGAAACCCAATTTCCAACATACATCCATCTATCCATCCAGGCTCACCAACAAACGCTGAAAATATCACATCCATCAGTGTTGATGACCTCCAGATGATGACACATTGTGAACATGTTGATGATTAAGCCTACAGGTGTGATTGGGTTCATGTGATACAACAAACTCAGCTTATTTTACTGACGTATGAGTAGAGAATTTGCTCAGAAAAGGCATGTTAATGCTCAAATGAAGGATTGTTTCACTTGATTTAAAATATATATTTTATTGAAGGATGGAGTCCTTGTGAAGGTGAAGTGGAAAATAATGTTTGCATGCTGAATATATGTTATGTTTAAAACATAGACTGTATATATGTGACCTGCTCTATCGAAATCAGTCGCATTGACCCGAAGACACATTTTGAGTTGTATACACTGTTGGAAAGAGGAGATTCCTAGCTTTCTAATGATATCAAGATTGTTTTTGTACTCCAAATATTAAGCAAAATATGTCACATTATATAATGACTGTCACCGAGTCATCATTTTGAGAAAAAGGCCTTTAAAGTTTCCTCTTCTCTGGAATCCATCGATCTGATTGATTATTAGCGGAGCAAATTATCAAAATAGTCCGGAGGGAAAATATTTCCGTTTGGATTACTGGTCTGGGGGAAGCTCGCGAGTGTGTGTGTGTGTGTTTGTGTATTTTGCGTTTGTGTATATTGTGTTTGTTTCCCGGGGAAAACACTCACGAGAAACACCGGCTGTTGTTATGCTTGCTGTGACGTTAAATGACTCCGTTCTGCGCTTGTAATTATGCCGTTACAAGCTTCATAGTTGTATTTATCATCTAAATTTGCCGAAACAAGTTTAATATTCTGAAAGCCAAGACTTTGTTTATTTGAAATCAGATGAAAACAAACTGTAACGGACCCCGCCGTGTTATCTAGATAACTATATGCCTTACATTCATAATTTCAGCCGGTGGGAGGGGGCTGCGCTACGGAAGAGCAGATTGCGAGCGAGAGGTGCCTGTCATCTTCCCTTTACAAGCTTCACAAATGTATTTATCGTGTGATTTTGGAAATAAAAGTTTCATATTCTGAAAGCCAAGACTTTGTTTATTTAAAATCAAACAAAACACCCGAACCCCGAAAAAATAGTTTTTTACGCAAATCCACGTTTATTTTGAAATGAGCCGTTGCGACATCCGACTGATTTCGATAGAGCGGGTCACATATAAGGTTTAAAAGCATGTGTCGCCCCCTGCTGGTCAACTTTTGGTATACTTATTTTTTCAGTTTTTCTTTTAACCTTAAGTTTGACACATGCAAACTGTTTTTATCAACAACGTAATCTACATTTTTACAATTTGAGGTTAACCGTATTATAAATGTGTTTTTGTTGGGGTTTTTTCCAAGCAAAACTTCACATTTCTATTAGTTTGATATACTACACACAAGGGTAGGCAGGCGTGTGGCGCAGTGAGGTGTACGTTGGTGTTCGGACCAGGGGGTCACAGGTTCAAACCCCACTGCAGTCAGCATGTCGTTGTGTCCCTGGGCAAGACACTTCACCCCAAATTGCTCCTGTGGGGATTGCCCACAGTATTGAGTATGTAAGTCGCTTTGGATAAAAGCGTCTAACAAGTGACATGTCATGTAATGTAAAGTAGAATATGGAGGAATGACCAAGTTGAAAACAGTCATTAAAGGACAGACAGCAAAGCAGAGCCCTGATCATTGTCTTTATTATCATGAACTAAATTCCCCAAACTGTCAAACAGATCAATAATGCAAAGAGAAATCCACAAAATCCCACAATAAAAGTGCTGCATTAACACACAAATTCAAGTTTTTGAAATGCATTTTTTTTTGACTCATTTCCGCACACCCAGTAGTTAATAAAGAAACGGAAAAGTACCTTAATGAAAAGAAAAAGCTGCTGCATGCTAGCAGAGAGAAAGAAATGAAACACAGCAGTTTGGTCAGTTGCTGGCAATGTAACAAAGTCTTGCATTTTGTGCTCATTTTGTATGGAGTTCCATTATCTGAGGTTGCAGAAGGCACATGTGCATCGTTCATTTCATGGACTTGCGCTTGAAGCTTTGCTTAGTATTTCTCTGAAAAAGAATACTGTGCAAGTGTACACACATTAAGCTCCCTCTAAGCCGCTTCTCCTCACAAACAACCACTTTCAAAGGATCTTTTCATTAACCTGGCAGTGTAAAACCAAAGCCATTTTTCATGATTACCTGCTATGTACAGTTCATAGAGAATGTGTTTTGTTTCCGAGATATTTTAAGGTTTGTAGTGAATTATGGATAAACCTGTACCCTAATGCGATATTTGCAGTGTAAACATCAGGAATATTGTGTCCCATAGATTTAAAATCATGCAGCAATAAAACCCAAGTTTGTTTGTGTGTCATGTATTAGCATTAGATTCAACAGAGGTATTCATCCGTTACATAAATACTGACCTTACAGTGTTAGAAAACCAAGGTCGTTTAATAGGGCTCCTAGTAACAATTACTAGCATTGTCAATATTTTTCTGTCTATAAAAAGTCAGATTCTCAAGGTCGAAGAAGATGTCTAAACTGCCATATTTTGTCAGACCAAGAGACACATATATTCAGTTTGATATCATATTAAATAGAGATCGGGAAATCTCTATATGTTAGAGGGTGAAAACGGCATTTTCTGACATTTTTGGAAGGAATATAACTTACAAGATTTACAGATCATCAAAATAGTAAATAATGGGCTCTATCATTAAATCACTCTTACTGCTGTCCTTACTTTGTTTTCAGAATCATAAAAGACTCGTCTAACCATCTGGACAGTAACATCCCTCCTGCACATTAAAACATTTTAAAGTTTGCAAATCTGTTTCCAAATCAAAATAAAGATGCGTTAGGAAACAAGAGTTGCCAGTGAGGAAACAAACTAAAAAAGATGTTCAATTGTGCAGCAGAGGGAATCATTAATCATCCAGATGGTTCAGAGAGTCTTTGGCAATAACCTGATGAGCAGAGGTAAGTGATTTTTCAAACTGTCCAGGTAGTTATTCCTTAGAGAACAGATGATTTCCACTGTGACTTTCATTTGAATACATGAGAGGAATGAACTGGGGCTTGCTGTTATGATGTGGTTGACCTACGGGGGCTTCATCACTTTCATACTTATCATTGTAGCTTCTTTATACATCAGCAACAGTATGTATAATGAGGCACAAAGGTCACTGTTCCCACTAATGCAGCAGAGCCCCATTCTGTGCGAGAACAAGCAAGCCACACACGGGCCTATATTAACGCCTCATGGGCTCCTCTCTCTGTTTCCCATCAGCCCTTTGGATCACAGCACGTTGGGCAGGTAGAGCGAACAGAGCAGCATGTTCTGACCCAGCGCCGGGAAGCGCCTGAAGGCCTCCCAGGCGTCCGAGAAGATGTTGTACTTGAGGAAGACGCGGTGCTCCAGGCTGGTGGGCAGGCTGACGTCGCGGCTCATGATGTAGACGCCGTCGTTGTGCAGCGTGCACGTCAGGTTCAGGCCCGACTTGGACGTGTTCTCCTTCAGCTGGATCCACTCCCCCGTGGTGACGTTGTAGGACTGCACCGTCAGCACATCCTCCGTCTGGCTGGGACGCCGCTGGCCGAACTCCAGCTCGTGGGTGTAGCCGCCCACCAGGAAGATGGTGTCCTCCACCGAGAGCATCTGCTGCTTGCGGATGTGCGCCGAACAGGAGCGAAACACCGTCCAGGTGTCAGAGGTGGGGCAGTAACACAGGACGCTTGTGTTCCTGTCTGTCAGAGAGAAAACGGAGGACAAACTGAATCAAAGGAATAGAAGTAATAGCAATCTTAATCTTAATCATAAAACTAAGCTAAGTAAAATAATCTAATAAATAAATAGTCTGCCTTATAAGAGCAGGCATAGGCCAGTGCAGATGATCTTTTTTATATTTTTTGTAAATTGTGTAATTTTTCTGTGGGACTAATAAAGGTATTCTGATTCTGACCAACCAGTAGTTTTGACCTCATGACATTAGGGTTTTTCAACAGTCTGTAGGAAACCAGAGCAAGTGGCCATCATTATGTTCAATGTGTGGTACAAGTTTTTATTGTCTGTAATTGTATGTGTGTAGCGATGTGTGTGACAGTGTGACTGTATACTCAACAGGGTATACCAACCTCTTGCGGTGTATCCTCCCATGACGTAGATCATCCCCTGGCACTCACACGCTGAGAACTCAGCCAGCGGGTCGGGCATCGAGGACACACACATCCACCAGTCGTGCTCCGGGCTGTAACACTCCACCGTGCCCAGACTCTGGCCTCCGACCGCGTAAATCTTCCCCTGGACCGCCAGCAGCTTGAAGTTGGACCTGAGGAGAGGATGCAGTAAGTGAAACATGACAGCAGATAATGATACTTGAGAGGAAAGGTGTAGATCTCAAGGTGGAAACAGTGATGGGAATGTTGATATGTTGAAGTTATACGCCGTCCTCCCGCCTGATGGAGCTTCTGCAGAGGAGCTGATCAAAGAGTATCAGGTAAATGTTCTACTTGATACTAAATTAAATAGCTATCTCGACCCAATCAGTCTCAGTAACTTCAAAGAAAAGTTTACAGTATATTGTATGCTAACACTGATTTACATGTTTTGACAGAATGATCGCAAATAAGTCGTCAGAAAAGGACTGTGCCGAGTGTGTCATTACAGATCCATGTCCTCCATGAAGTGCAGCAAAAGAAGACGCCACACCTACCAACGTGTCCATCTCCATCGAAGGATCTGAGGTGCTTGATTAGTGTAAATGTTTGGCGAAGGCTTGCCTTCTGCACACCAAAGTTGAAATACGCTTCTGTACTTTTTCAAAAATCTGTTTTTTTATTTTCAAAAAATTGTAAATATCCTTAGTAAATCTTATTAATTTGTAGCTATTGAGTGTTGTTTTTTTGTTAATATTGGATTTTCGGATCTCTGAGTGACAGTAAATAAATGTGTTTCTGTGCCTGCTTATTTTAGTTAAACTGATGTATGCGCAGTATTTGTTCAAATCATTGTAAGCTGTAGCTTAATCATGGCATGTAGCAGACAACAGAACAAAAATAAATGTGTTGTTTAAAAGTGTCTACTCTACTGTTTCATGCTTTGTATAGCCTTGGTGTAAAACGGTTTTATTGAGTAAAAATTGCATTTGATGTAACAGGTAGAATAAATTATATTTAAATATTACCAACATATTTATGAAATAAAAGGTAAGAATAGCAAGTAAAAACAACCTGAACAGCCAAACATTTTTTAGAGAAGATTTGTAATAAGGTGCACGTGTAGTCTTAAGTAAAATCTACTATGCAATAGTAAGTCAAATGTACTTACAAAAACTGAAATTTGACCGTAAAGTTTACTTTTGTGCCTTTAGTAACAAACACTTAACTGTAAGTAGATGGTACTTGAAATATACGTAGTTCCATGAGAGCAAAATCTTACCTAGATTTCCCTAAGTACATCTTATTTCCCATTTTTTTCAGTGTAGCAACATTTCAATGTTTTTTCCTGTATTAAGATCAAAAGAAATCTATAGCAGTTTGGACCCTTTAAGGTGGAGCCCCTGGCGGTGTGAACCCTGCCCTGTGTTTACCTCTTCTGGTTGAGCGGAGCCACCTGGCTCCACTCGTTCCTGCAGGGGTTGTAGCAGTGCACCGCAGAGATCTCCTGGCTCGTCATCCTGTATCCACCCACTATGAACAGGTAGTTATCGAGCACAGCTGAGCCATATCCTCTGACGTTTATCATATCTGAAGGCAGGTTGTTTGCCAAGGGTTTCCAGCGCTGCTCCATCTCTCCATACCTCAGCATGGACCAGGGCTCATCCTGATCCGGCACGTCCAAGGAGAGGCAGGTGAAGTCTCCTATGGCTACCAGGGTGGCAGTGCCTCTCATGCGCATCTCTTTGACCAGCTCTCTGACAGCAGAGGGGAGGCTGCTGAACTCTGGTCGCCTCAGCATGGGATGATAGTAGCAGCTCATGTATTTGAGGCAAGCATTGCGCAGATCATGAGTCCCGTAGACTTCAGAGAGGCTGTACAGCTCCACGCAGTTGTCCTGGCGGATCTCCGAGGTGAGGAGCTTGAGGATGGAGGTGACCTGTAAGAAGGAGGCGGTCTCAATCAGGTCCTCCAGAGTCTCGTTGACAACCTGGACCTTGGAGGTGTTGATGAACTCCAGGACGAGCTCCAGGCCGGGCACACTGAGCCCCTGCAGCTGCACCGAGTCCTCCGTGGACTCCCTCATCCCGGAGCTGTACAGCGCACGGAAGTAGTCGCTTTTCTCAATCAGCTTCTTTTTATTCACCTCGTAGATTTTATCATCCATGACGATGGCAATAATCTGCTCAGATGACATGGTGAAGTTTTTGTAATCTTCAAGGCTGAGTTTTGGTTTTGCCCCTTGTTTCAGCCTCCTCGGGGAGCCACTGTTTACATTTCACCGGCGAGGGAGCTCTGTGGCCGGGCTATATATGGCAATGTTCAACCCATAGATAACCAGGGAGCAACTTTCGTTGGCCGTTGAAGCTAACTAGCTATAAATGTACACTGATAAAGCTAGCCAAAAGAACCTTTTCCTCGGATGAGCATTCCTTGACAGTCGCATAGAAAGTTGCCTTTGTCTCTAAAGACGTTGTTTAAATAGTGCAGTTTATTTCTGACATTGGCAGTAACAGTTCCCATCGCATTTTATCAGCCTTTTGGGAGACAAGTGCCGAGCTGTCAACAATAACTGTTTTGATTCGGCACTCTACGTCATTTCCTTTTCTTTAATTCTTCTTTGTGGGGATATTTTTTGGCAGAGCTCTTGTGTGCTGCTGCCACCTGCCGGTGATTGGACGACATGCTTAACCTAATGGATAACCTACAGTCAATATGCATAACATAAAACAACATACACTCATTTTGGGATTACCTAAAGGTTCTATATTTCTGTGATATTATTCCAAAGGAAATTAATGTTAATAGTATTATTTAAAACAATTATCTAGTAAAAAATAAATGCATTTCCCAGAAGGAATTTCTATAATATCCAATTAATTGTTTTAGGATTACATTTGTTTAAAAATTGTCTAGATGTTAAAACTTGTGCCAAATCTGGTTGACAGGAATGCCTTTTTAGACATCCAGGTTTATACATTACAGTTATTACAACAAATTATATTCATTGTAGTACGATCTGATTCACATTAAATACTGAAGGAACAACCTTTACATGTAACCTCTCTACTTTGTAACCAGTTTCTCAGGTGTGTCAGTTTATGGTGGCTCAACTTGATTTATTGTTCAAAGAGTTGATGTGAAAATCTGCTGTAAGTGACACTTGTCTTTTAAATGGTATTTTCTTGTCATTTTGTGTTTGAAATGTGTTATGCAGATACACTTGCCTCATGTGGTATTACATGTTAATTTCAAACTCCTAATTTTGGTAAACCTGCAGATTGAGAACTGTTGTTGAGTTACATTTGGCATGACTCAGAAACATGGAAACATTTCCTAAAACATTTAATTTGAACATCTTAATCACTGAATATTGACTAGTGATTGAAAAATCCAAACCACGTTAATAAGTATAAAATAAAAGCTTGTTAAGTGGATCACATTACTCCCAAAAAATCTATTAGAAAGCTGCAGCTGATTCAGAACGCCGCTGCTCGAGTCCTCACGGACACTAAGTGGATCACATCACTCCTGTTCTGAAGTCTTTACACTGGCTTCCTGTGTGTCAAAGAATTGATTTAAAAATACTGCTGCTGGTTTATAAAGCACTGAATGGTTTAGGCCCAAAATACATTTCTGATCTACTGCTAAATTATGAACCATCCAGATCTCTCAGGTCTTCAGGGACTGGTCAGCTTTCTGTCCCCAGAGTCAGAACTAAACATGGTAAAGCAGCATTCAGTTATTATGCTCCGAATATCTGGAACAAACTCCCAGAAACCTGCAGGTCCGCTGCAACTCTTACTACTTTTAAATCCAGGCTGAAGACTTATCTTTTTGCCGCTGCTTTTAATTGAACTATTCATATCTTAAACTGCACTGTAACTTTTTATTCATGTACTTTTTATTCATGTATTTTTTATTCATGTATTTTTTCTTTTAATGTTTCTTTTATTATCTTTTCTTTTTAATGACTGTTTTTAAATGCCTTTGTCTTAATGTCTTTCATTTTTGTAAAGCACCATGAATTGCCTTGTGTTGAAAGGTGCTATATAAATAAACTTGCCTTGCCTTGCCTTGCCTTGCCTTATAGGTGATAGTTTATAGGTTTTCAAGATAATACAAATATTATTTAACTGAACGTTAAATGTATACTTCAACCTTGAACCCTACACGTTCTAACCCAAACTACATTGTTATTGTCACAATTTAGTGTTTAGTATTTTTTTTGTATAAAGTTAGATATTGTCTATCTCCTACTCATATGACAGGGCAGAGCTAAAATAAGCTCAGCAGCCAGCAGGCCTGTTGTCCATCTCCAGCTGCCAATCAAGATAAAGTGAGCGTTATCGCACTTGTGGCGTCACTGTCTGAGTGAAGGTTTATCTAGAGAGGCGTGAACCACCTCTCGGCTCAAGCGGCTCAGACAGATGGCTGCGCCTTCAAAATAAAAGCATGGAGCTTGAGTTTTTACCATAGACTGTATATATAAAGGTTTTTACCTATGGTTTTTACTCAAAAGCTTCAGTTAATAAACAAGCCGTTTATTTTATATAATCAATACGATTTGATTGATTATAATTTGATAATAGTAAACTATGGGCATTAGAGTTGCAACTATGGATTATATTTGTTATTGATTATTCTGAATTTTTTTATTGTCTGGTTTATTTGTCCACTATTTTTAATCAGGGCCCAAGGTTAGTTCTTACCTGGAATCGCACATAAACATTAATTTACACCATTTCAAAAGCTTGCATAAAAACAATACAGTTATGTTATTTCAAGTGTACAAAAAATAAAACGTATCAATCTTTTAGTTCAATTTCTTCCCCTCTTTATTCTAGAATAACAGGAGTTTTAATTTGAAAACCGGAAATGGAGGTATTCTTTTTTCACTGTCTGTCTTGATGATGGTGGGGGGTGAGTAATAGACAGGCAGGCATCAATGAGAAACACACCGCCTCACAGACCCTCACTGCTCGGCCTGTTTCATGTTTGAGGCTCCAGGCCGCGGACAGCCGGCTGTTTGTGACCCGAGCTGAGGATGCGGGAGCAGGTGTGGGCCTCCTGGCTCCCCCGCTGCCTGGTGCTCATCATCACCGCGCACACTTCATCTGCGTCCGCCGAGCTGCGGCCGTGCGACAGGGTGAGTCCCTTTATTATTGTCTCCATATCATTTAATGCTACTTCTAAACACAAATGTGTAGCTTTCTAACAAGCCAAAGTAGCTTCAGTCTTTTTTAAATTCGTGTTCTCATCTAGAAAATTGCAAATATATTTTAATGGATGATCCAGTCAATAAAATGGCCATGCATGCAGAAATAAACAACCACATTATGGCTTCTCATAATGCACAATTACAAGGAAAACAAGTCATTTGCCAGCTTAATATATTGGCTCAATTGTTTTTTGAGCTATGCGAGACCACACGGTCCCCCAACCCAATGATCGGCTTAAAATGTGGTTCATGTTGACCATACAGACGCTCCATGACAGAGGATGTCTGCTGGCCTCCATCCCTCTCTGAGCAGCCTCCTGCCGGCTAGCAGCGGCCAGGTCTGCCCGCTGAGGACGAGAGAGAACCGGGGGCTTTTTTTTCCCATATCCATTTTTTGTTCATGTAAAAATAATAATGTTATAATTTAAGACATAAGACATAGCCTACTCTGTCACAGGTAAAAGTATTGCATTCAAAAGAAAATACAAAACTAAAAGTGCTAATTATGCAGAATGTTTTTTTATATAATATTTCAGAATAATATACATTACATTAATGATAAGAGCAGCTAACACACCTTTAACAGTTATTATTATTATTATTATTATTATTATTATTATTATTCGTTTTTAGATGTATTAGATGAAAGTGAAGTAATATTTACAGTGTCAAGAGACATGTGGTTTATTTTTCCTAGTTTAAGTCTAATTTATCCAAAATTATGTTCAGGCACTCTTTCGCCCTGACAATAATAAAATGTCTTAGTGGATTTGTTTGCCATCAAACATTCAATAATACAAAATATCAGTATTTGGAAGCCAAAAAGATTAGTGTTCATCTTTCCTGTTGTGTATACACAAATCCTAAAACCTCCAGTCTAGATAATCTCCTGACTCAGAATATGCATGGCGTTGAATTTTATCCAATGTCCCTCCTCTCGCTTTTTCTCATCAGTCTCCATGACAACTAGCGTGAGTCACCCTGGAGACCAGCGCAACACATTAGCACATTTTTATCAGACTCACCTTTCCCTCCAAGCGCTGTTGTTTGTTCAGCAGGTGAATCTGAGCACATGTTTGCTTAGTTCATGTTAATGAGGTGCTCGTCCTCTCACATTTTGTACACAGATTGCATGCTTGTGTGTGTGTGTGTGTTGGGGGATGGGGGGGGTTCGGAATGAAAGCCATTTTAGTTTTTGCAGAGAGCTGAAGCTTATCTTTACTGCACACACCCACCTGCATCTGCAAACCATCTCTGATTAGTTCCCCCCCGTCACACGCCACAGGTCGTTTCTGTGATTGTTCCTGTTTAATTAGCTGCTGAATGTCAGTGCCCTGCTGCAGCCAGCTCCTGTTCTCCGGTGATCCTCTGTCTGCCCAGTGCAGCAGCAGGGTCGGGGGAGGAGATGGATATCTGCAGAGGGAGGCTTTGGACTCAAGAGAACTCAAATTTAAAAAAAAAAAAAAAAAAAAAAAAAAGAAAAAAAAAAGGACAATCCAAGCCCTACTTACGGGATGTATTGCCTTAATTCTGTTTAAATGGCATAAAGCATAAAACTGATTTAAAGTATTTTGCCAGTTAGATATTCAAAGGTTACATCAGAACGAGAGGAAAGTGGGTGACATTGAATATCAATAATAAATATGCTCACTGTACTACTTCTTTTTTACAGCCAAAAGATGTATAGGCCTACTAAAAGTCTAAATACAAATATGCCTGAAAATAATTATGACTTTAAATAGCAATAATAACTTCTGTTAGGTTACATGGAACCTGTTGAGAAAATCAATTGAATTAATGTCATCGTTTAATTTGTTTGTATAGGCCAGCTATTTCCCCTCTGTTTTCAGTATGCTAAGCTAACTAGCTGCCGGCTGTAGCTTCATATTTAGTGTAAAGATAAAAGAAGTCCAAATCCCAATAGAATTTCCTTTGCACACCTAAACATAATATTTATGAAATACAAAGCTGTTTGTTATTTTATATACCAGTTAACCATTGTTTAGCCCATAATATAATCAATATGGCATATCAAATAAAAAAGCAATACATGTAAAAGTGTGGGAACAATATTTATTTTTAAAATGTTATATTATGAGGTTATTTAAAAAACGAAATATTAGAACAAGTCAATAACTTGTAATGTATGAGGTTAATGGATAATACAAATGAATACTCAGCTCTTTTATTGAACACACTCATTGTCATGTTTAGCTTGTTTCTATGGAGATTAAAAGCACCTCATTATAAATTGCCTTGGACTAAATGTTCCTCTTAATGAATGTGCAGTCATTCGAAGAGGAGCATAATAATGACACAAGCAGCCGTCCTTGGAAAGAAGCGTGCATACAACCGCTGTCGTGCCCTTAATGGACCATTCGTTTTACATTAGGTTGGTTGCCCTTGGTGATTAGGGTCAGCCATCAACTTTTAAGCCGGCTTTTGTTTTCATATGAAATGAGCTTCATACTCGTAAAAAAAAAAGTAATGTTGCGTCCAGAACTGTATGTGAATCGAGATTAAGCAATCTGAGGGGTTTGCTTCGCCTGTGCTGTACACTAGTCAGGATGGGATAAACGGAAATAAGGGTGTAGAAAATAAACAATGATGTATGTGTCCTGGTTTAATAAAAGGAGTCTACAGTTCGGCTGCACATACACCCTTAGGTGATTTGAGCTAAAACCTCAGCTAACATCAGCATGATAACATTCTCACAATGTCCCCATACCATGCTCATGTTTAGCACAAATTATGTTTCCCCATGTTCACTATCTAAGTTTGGTCTGCTAACAATTGTAAAATAGAGAATTAGAAATGGACATATGACCGCACACAGGACATTATTTTTTGGGCCAGAGGTGACTAAAGGTTAAAGCTTGTAGTTGTTTAATTTTCTCTTTTTACTGCACTGTTAGTGTACAGTTTTATTATTATAATTTTAACTTTTTTTATTATGCTGCTGTGTTTGTTGTGTCTTTGTAACTCTGGCACAAAAAAAAGAACTTCTGAGAAAATGTGTTGCTCTTCCATGAATTAGTTGCTGAAATATTCCGTCGGCACCACAGTGATCCATTGGATGGTGTGTTGATCTTGTTGTGTGTCTGTGTGTGTTTTGCAGACAGAATACAACTACCAGTACACAGAGTGTGACAGCACAGGGTCACGATGGAGGGTCTCCATCCCCGTCACTCCAAACTCCTGCTCAGACCTCCCCCCCCCCAACCAGAGGAACAGACTGCTGTAAGTACTGTGTGTGTTTCTGGATGTGTGTGTTCATATCTGGTGTGTACATGTCAATATGACCCTTTTTCCCTAACTGTCTCACAGCTTTCTCCTGTCCGGCTGGGAAGTTTTTAGAGATGAGCACGCAGCATTGCACGCCGTGTCTGGCCGGCTCTTATTCTCTGGGCAGTGGTCTCCGTTTTGACCAATGGGACGCCATCCCTACAGGCTTCACCAACATGGCCAGCTTCTTAGACCCTGGGCCAAATGGAGAGGACATTCAGGCCTGTAACAGGTGACACAGACATCCACTAACACTACTTTTCTCACAGGTTCAATCAGAGTTCAGGAATGACATGTTATGACATGTGTTGTTTTTTTTGCTGAGTGTTTTTTCTCCTTGCTGCAGCTCATCATGGACGCCACAGGGTGTGTATCTGGAGTCAAACCGCGATGAGTGCACAGTGTCTCTGGTTTACGCCGTCCATCTGGAGAAACTGGGCTCCGTCTCCTTCACCTACCAGTACCCCGACAGCAACATCTTCTTTGAGTTCTATGTAAGCACTTTTAAATGCCTTCTTTAATATATTACATAGTGATATAAGACATTTGGGTTAAAAATGGCTTGCCTAAATAGGTTTTATTATAGCTTAGATTCCACTGAAATTATCTATGATTTTCCTGAATAAAATAGCAGTCAAATCTACCTAGATGTGCTTTTATAAACCTGCCCATGCCAAATTTTCTTATAATTCATAAATAGTTAAAGAGTAGTATCAATCTAATCATTTATTTGTCTTTTAAATGTCACACTTTAGATAGTGGGTATTTATGTGCTTAAAGTGCGATTAACCTGGTTCTGTCAGTTTTTAAACATTTAAAATTGAAGGAACTACATATCAGCTCATCATATCCACTTCTTGCAGCTTTTTTCCACTGATTGTTTTCAAGCAATCCACATATACCCTGGTTTACAGTTATATGAAATGAATGTGTAGTGGAGGTTTAATGCGAGATAATTGAGAACAGCAGCTTTTTCCTGGAAGACTATCTTACTGGATAATACCTGCCATATCAACTTGTGTTCAGGTCCAGAACGAGCAGTGTCAGGAAATGGCCCAGACTGATGACCAGAAGTGGATTAAAGCCACCAACAATGGGGAATGGGAAACACACACAGTGAGTATCTGATTCTGCTTCCATTAGTATAGGGACAGTATTTTGGTTTTGGTGTGCTTCCTCATGTGTATGTCTTTTTGTTTTAAGGTGAGTCTAAAGACCGGTACTAACATCCTCTATTGGAGAACCACCGTCATCCTGGTGGGAGGAAAGATGGTGAAACCTGTGCTGCTCAAGAACATCCAAATAGAAGGTAAAGCAAACACTCACAACATTAGGCATTCATACATTTAACAGTTGTAGCTTCTTTTTTGATTTACTATAAGCTACTATAGATGCCTTTTTGAAAACAGACATTTCCAGCACGTTATACTCACAGTTGACTGGTCCGTTTTGGGTGGCTGGCTTGATGTTATGCAGCTCATGTGGTTGATCAAAATAAAAGAAAATAGTTTCCACACATTCAACAAAAAAAGTAGGCCTTTACAAGAGTAAAATCCAAACAATAGAGGCAAAATTATAGCGTTAATTGATTAATTTAATGGATGAAAACTGTGTCTCGTCGCTGTCTTTTATACAGGTTGCCCATAGCTGTGCTCCTGATAAGGTGGCGCTGTGGGAATTCTAGTCTTTTATCTTCCATGCACCTCAGAGGTCAACACTAATACAATTTAAGCTTCTCACAAAACAAAAACTGGCTTAAACATTAGCAATAATATTTAATATATACAGTGGATGGAAACGTTTGAGATGAATTCAGAGTCTTCTTTCTTGGATATACAATTTATAAATGAATAATTCCAGGTGTTGCCTACACATCTGAGTGTTTCCCGTGCCGGCCCGGGTGGTTCAGCCCGGCCCCCGGCTCCTCATCCTGTGAGCCTTGTCCCAGCAACACCTTCTCCATTAAGGGGGTCTCCTCCTGCACCACCTGCCCTGAGCACCACTACTCACGTATGTACACATTTGACTTTGCTGTATAATATTTGTCCTCTGTAGAGAAAAAGACTAGAACATCCGATTGACCAAATATCATATTCTGTCTGTGCATGTTTTCTCTGCATCACTGTGTACTGGATCATCACCGTCTCCCTCTCCTCTCTCAGATGAGGGGTGGGCCGAGTGTAAGGTGAGGCCGCCGTGCTCAGAGAAGGATTATTTCCAGATCCACACGGCCTGCGACAGCGAAGGAAAGGTCAGCAGCATCCACACGACACACACTCACACACTCACACACATCCTCACCTTTTTGCTACACAAGGACAGACACACCCTCTTTTGTATGGGGTTTGAATTAAAGGTGCATAAACAATTTAACAGAGACATTTGATACGTTTTCAAAGATTTCTTGACAATTAGGTTGTTTAAAGCTTGGATGATTGAGTTAATAAGCTGAAATAAAGCAAATTCATCTAATTACAACAAGACAATTTAAAGGTTTTTATGTAAAAGGTGATCAGCATGTCATTGTTTATTTTTGGTCTGATGTTATACTCTTAAAAAAAAGATAGTATATTGAGTTATGCTATGTGCATTTATACTTATGTCAATTGACTTAAGGCCCATGTTATATGTTGTGACTGCATCACACTCACATTTATTATAAAATCAGAAGACGTTTAGTCAGCTCTCTCAGGGTATTGTGTGTCAGAAACCAGAGAAGTCACACTGTGTGATGAGAGAGGAAATGATGAAAAGCTTAGTGGACGCTTTGCATGTCATCTGATCCAAAGTCAACTTCGTCGGCTCTCGTCCACGACCTTGGCTTGTTTAGATTCACATCTCTGAAAGCGCTGAGTTAGAGTGATGACGATAAAAAAAAAACAGAAAAGAAACACAATCTATCTGCCCTCCATTTAAGACAAATGTATGTCTGTATTGTTCCAGGTACTGTTACTTTATCTAATCATTTTTTTAAGAATCATAAATCCCCTGACCTCTGTGGTGTTGTGTTTTACAGACGCAGGTGTTGTATCGGTGGGTGGAGCCAAAGATCTGTGTGGAGAACGTGACGGGGGCGTTGGAGCTGCCTGCCACGGGGCAGAGAGAGCCCTGCCCCCCCTGCAACCCCGGCTACTACAACAGCAACGACTCCACCTGTTTGCCCTGCCCAGCTGGAACCCACTCAGATGGCACCTACGGTAAACATGCCCACACCTGGCCTCTGGGGTTACTGATGCTGCTGTATTCATACAATTCAAGCTTTTTACTCTGCATTTATCTAGTGAAAGAAAACCAAACATCTAAACACGACCCAGCTGGATTATCCACTATTGAATAGATAGTTCTTGTGCAAACATAATGTTTTGAAAAGGAGGAAAATACCATTGTCGTTGCTAAATAAAGCTTGTGTGTGTGTGTATCTGTGTGTGTTTGTGTTCCAGTGTGCACCAAGTGCCCTGCAGGTACAGAGCCGGTGTTGGGTTACGAGTATAAATGGTGGAACGTGCTGCCCTCCAACATGAAGACGTCCTGTTTCAACGTCGGAAACTCCAAATGTGATGACATGAATGGTAAACACAACAAAGTCAAGCTTGAAGGACTCTCTAACTTTACATTAAAGAATAGAAAGCTCCAGAACAGATACTTAAATGGCCAGATTGTTTTCCTAAAGCTTTATAAACTAGGTTTTTGTGTCCATCTGAAATCACTATTCACATACACACACTTGTTTCCTCTGTGCAATATATAAACCCTTTACTATTTAATACTGTTGTTACTGACTTTAATTCATTTTATACATTTCACCTACTTTTACAATGCTTTTTTCTATTCATGACGTATGCTTTGCTTCGTCTACTCTATACATTTCCCTGCTTGGGGGCAAATGAAAGATTTCTGATTCTGATATATGTGCACAGATCTGTTATCCAGATTGAGTGAAGTTTAATGTGTGCATCATGTCTGTTGTTCCTCAGGATGGGAGGTTGCAGGGGACCACATTCGCAGCGGAGCAGGCAGCTCAGATAATGACTACCTCATCCTCAGCCTGCACGTGCCTGGCTTCAAGTGAGAATTTGTGCTTTTCTATGTACATTTGGGCATCTCAGAAAGAAGATAAGATGGGATAATGCAAAGTAGGTACATATGGTGCAGGTTGTTGAGTTGTTTGTGGTGGATTGAGTCTTGATTGTGCAACCTGATTGCTTCTGGCTAAAATAAGTGGCAAGACGCTTTGGCTATACTTTTTAAATCTCTGCCTGTGTTTGTGTTTCTGGTGGCAGGGTCCCAGCCTCTCTCGCAGGGATGACGGGCAGTGAGTTTGGACGGATAACCTTTGTGTTTGAGACCCTGTGCTCTGGTGACTGTGAGCTCTACTTCATGATGGTGGGTGTTTTTATCTGTGTGTTTTAGTGCAGACGGTAGTAATTAGATGACACATTTTACCAGCAAGCAGAATAGTGACATTTCTCTCAGTCTATTACAGTGTTCTGCATATTGTTGCTCAGTTTTACAACCCTTGTTTTCCCATTTCACTGTGCCGCCCCCTGCAGGATGTGAACAGGAAGAGCACCACAGTGGTGGAGTCATGGGAAGGCAGTAAAGGGAAACAGTCGTACTCACACAGCATGACCAGGAACGCCTCCGTCGCATTTACATGGGCCTTCCAGAGGACCAACCATGCTCATGATGTGAGTGAACACACACACACACACACACACACACACACACACACACACACACACACACACACACACACACACACACACACACACACACACACACACACACACACATACTCAGTGCCTTTATCCCTTTAATACAATGCCTGTGCTTGTCATTCTCAGTAATAATTATCTAGAATAGGGAGTTTTGTTTTCAGCTAATCTAGAAATATTGGTGTTTTTAAGCCATAGTAGAAAAAACGGCCTCCTTGGTTCAGATGGATAGTCTTGATTATCTTTATAAAATGTAACCATTACTTGCTTAAAGCAGTCGCAGATTTGTATCTCATAATTTGTTCTATCCTTGTGGTGTGTGTGTGTAGGTGCGTCAGTATGTCAGTGACATGGTGAAGGTGTACTCCATCAGTGTGACGAACGTCCTGGACGGCGTGGCGTCGGCGTGTCGGGCCTGCGCTCTGGTTCCTCAGAACTCTCAGCGGGCCGGCTCCTCCTGCGTTCCCTGCCCCGCTGGCTTCTACATCGACAGAACCACCAACCGCTGCCAGGAGTGTCCGCAGAACACACACCTGGCCGGACGCCACACCTATGGCCAGGACGCGTGTGTCGCCTGTGGGCCTGGAAGTATTAGCGACAAGGTAAAGAGATTTTTCCTCCTCTTTGTGTTTGTGATACAAAATTCATTTTTTAAGCAGCTTGTTTTAGCAAGCAGCTGTCCTACAAACAAATCTAAAATATACTTTTATTTCTTCAAATCAGCAACAACTGATCTAAGCATTATGTTAACAAATCTGACTTTGTGCACAGACACATTTTGGTCAAACATTTTTTTATCTGATCACAAACAACAAAAGGCTAACAAGACCAATATATATTAGCATTTATTTGAATTGATTCTATGATATAATTTCTATATAAACTCTTTGGAGTTCTCGCTGTGATTCTGAACATAAAATAGAAACATTTTAGTTGGATAATTTATATTGAACATTTTATTTACAGATAATTATTTAATTTATTTAATTTATTTGAATAAAATGTAATGAAGGGAAATCTCAACATTGTTGTTTAAGGAATATGATAAGCAAATCAATATTTAACAAACTCCATATTTTATTTATTTAGTTTATATTATTTTTCCATTTATTGATTATCATGAACTGAACCCATAGTATAGTCGTCTATACAGTACTTTAATTTGTTAATGTATTTCCTTTCCTTTCAGGAACACTCTCGTTGCTACAGCGACTGCTCCTTCTCCCACACAGAGAACAACCGTACGCTGACCTTTGACCTCAGCCCCCTAAGCGACGTTGCCTCGGTGACCATCGGCCCCAGTTTCACCTCTAAAGGCACAAAGTACCTGCACCTGTTCAACATCAGCCTGTGTGGCCACGAGGTACTTCACACATACTCAAAATATTTTTAAATCCTCACATTCTTTATACTAAAACTATCCTTGAGACGTTGAACTTATTCTCCCTCATGGTTAGCTGTCTTAAATTAAAGCAGTACATTTTAATGTATTTTAGTTATATTATTATGTCAGTTTGAAGCCTCATAAATCTGGATTTTTTTATATTTTTGTCATTATTACTTTCTTTTAGAAATCAAATAGTCCTTTCCATGTAGGCCTGTCACTGCTGTTTGATAGCATTTATTTTAAATGCAGTTAAAGCGAAACCATAGCAACTGACATATTTGTTGCTATCTGCTCGCTGCTCCAGGGGAAGAGAGTGGCAGTCTGCACAGATAACGTCACCGATGTGTCCACCAAAGATGACCAGAGTGATCCGGCGCAGTTTGTTAACTCAGTGGACAGCTTCATCTGTCAATCAACCATCATCCCAGCAGATGGGCGGGGCTTCAGGATGGCCATTTCCTCCCAGTCCATCAGCCTTGCAGACAATTTCATCGGTACAATGCTTGTTAGATGGCAGTATTTGGATCTGTTATCACTAAATGTTTAATATTCCATTCATATATTTATCATGTTTTTTCCTAGGAGCAACAGTGGACTCTATTCTGGATGGTGTGAAAGCTCAACCTGAACTTTTTACGGAAAACTCAAAGGATGTTCCAGATATCAACTTCTTCTACAGGTACAGTTTGAGGAGTGGTGGAAGAAGAACTTGGATCTCTTGCTTAAGTAAAAGAAGCAATAGTCAAATGTAAAAATACTCTGTTACAAGAAAAAGTCCCGCATTTAAAATCTGTACTAAGTAAAAAGCATTGGCATTAGATATACAGTACTTAAATTACTTGTTATGCTTTATGGCCCATTTCAGAATCATATACAGTATATTAAGTTACTATTGATGCATTACTGTGTTCCTCCCAGCTGATAAAGGTGGAGCACATTTTTATTTATTTGTATATAGCTTCATATAGTAAGGTTCTTGATTGAATTGACTTTTTTTACATGCACCAATGAGTGTGAGAGACAAATGCAGAGTGAGTGTTTGTTGTTTCTTATGTTTCAGTCCTAACTGTGCCCTTTTTTCTTTCAGGTCAACACAAGTAACTGCTTCATGTGATCAGGGTCGCAGTTCAGTCATCACCATTCGCTGTAAACCTGAGAAGTCTGACCGAGGAGAGCTCTCTGTGCCCAGGTATGGTAAATGTAGGGGATGACTGGTTACTGTGGATCAAAAATGTGTTAGTGCTCTTGAAAATCAAGGGACTGGAAAGGTTTCTGGCACTCTAAAAAATAAGAACAAATAACCACAGGCTACCACATGACGTAAAATATATTAAAAACAATGCATAAATAAAGTTCTGAATTAGGATTGTGGTGCTCCATAGATGTCCCGGCCAACAAATCGTATTCTACAGACTTAATGAAATATATTTGTTGGCTACAGATCCTCTCCAAAAAAGACAGTCAAAAATCATTTCAATATGTTTTTATTCTTCCAAATAGTACAGTCCTAATAAAATGTACAATATGTGTTTGTGCAGCTCCTGTCCTGCAGGAACTTGTGATGGATGTACGTTTCACTTCCTGTGGGAGAGCGCCTCCGCCTGTCCACTCTGCACTGAGGACGACTACCACCGGATAGAGGGGGCCTGCAGGGGGGGGGGTCCAGGTAACACACTCTTTATTTATCTGTAAAATGACCCAGACCTTAAACAGATTTGTATTATATATTGTGTATTATCTACACTATCTACATCTTACTAATAGCAATGAATAAACAAGCAGGAATAGTCACTCTGCTAAAAAACTAATATCAATCTATGGTATATTTATTATGTATAACAATTAATTTTGGAGAAGCCTTAATATATTTGACGAATATTCAGGTTAAATGTGGAGATATAATTCTAGATATAAACACCTTAATAATCCCTTAACCCAACACCTTACATTTCTTATTTGTTGCTATGTCTAAGATTGACTGAATAATGCTTTATAATTCAGTTTAAACTACTTTTATACTTCCCTTAGTTAAAAACACAACTAAACATTGCTACATTTACATTGGCAGACCTCCCTTGTGCTTCGCATGCCAACTCTTTTCAGATGCAAATAAAAATAGACACATTTGTTTTCTTTTTATCAGAAATCATTCTGCTCTATCATTTGATTCATGAAGCCAGCAACAAATAGAAAGTTCTCCATCTGTCTCCCTCCACTCTCTCCAGGAAACTCTGTTTGTGTGGAACGATCCAAAGCTGTGCACCAAAGGCGTGCCGCTGCCCCCCCGCAGCTCCTCTCCCTGTGAGGCCATCGCTCTGTGGCTGAAGGTCGGGGTGGGGGGCGGAGCCTTCGTGGCCGTGCTGCTCGTCTCCCTCACCTGCTATTTCTGGAAGAAAAACAAAAGGTGAGACGCAAATACCAATCATACGCCACCAGCAATCTCAACATGCTTATTACATCACCTTCATTTGTTTTTAAAGGAATAGATGGCTGTTTGTCAGCGACAGTAAAGAAGTATACATCTTATTTATCAGTCCTAGAGTAATGCTTTGCCTTTACCTTCAACTTCTTCGTTTTTTGCTTTAGTTAGATAACTATTAATAACTTTGTGACTAACTATATAGTTAATTAGCACAAATTGCGACAACCATATGAATTATAATTCTTCTTAGACTGTGTCATTTGAATGCATTTTAAAGGTTTAGTGCAACAGAAATATACTTATTCCTCTTTTTATCCCCTTAATCATCTTGTGAACCCTCAGATTTATCTTGATCAAAACACGTTTTTTGTTAATAAAAAAAACATTTGGTAGAATCACTTAGATTTTTAGGATGATGATCAAATGTAAGCTATCTTTTAGGGGGAAAAACGTTTTAGTATCCGCATATAAACCCCTACACACTGGATGTTTTGACTGTGCTAAATAATATGTTGAATCACCATGACGGAGTCCCTGTGGTCTGTGTTCAGGCTGGAGTACAAGTACTCTCGTCTGGTGATGTCGGCCAACAGAGAGTGTGAGCTGCCAGCTGCAGACAGCTGTGCTCTGGCTGAGGGGGAGGAGCCTGACGACGACGTGGTCTACACCAAGAAGCCCTCCCTGCTGGGGAAACTCCGCGCCATAGCTAACAAGGTGTGTATCTGACTGATTATAAACTACATTCACTGAGTAATGCCTTACCCAACTACACATATTTGTACCTCTAAACCCAAATCTTTATAGCCCAATCAGTTTTAATCCTACTTGTCGAGCCATCATACTGCAAAACGTGCCAATTGCAAAAAGTAATTCAGCCTCTTTGCTACAGACTAGAAAGAAAATGCATGTTTTTTCCACATCTCAAACAATAACAATTAATTGTAATGAAATGTTGAAACAAGTTGATTGGAAACGTGACATTTATCTTTGCTGTTTGTATGTTAGAATAATTGTATTGTTATGTATATGTAAACTTTGATTTATAAAAAAACATTATCCTTGGTCTAGGTCACTCTTTCTTGTTTGCGTATTTGTTGCTTTCATTTTAATTTGCTTCTATTTACATTATTACTTGAAATTGTACCTATACTCTTCACTGTACTTTTTTCTTATTGTCAAAGAGCCAACACAGTTTCATTGTTCTAAGCACTATGAGGATAAAGATATATTATTCTGTAATATCTGTGTCTTTCAGCACGACAGGGGAGAGAGCAGTGAGTCTGTGCAGCTCAACTCGTCCCACAGTGACCGATGGGTCCTGGGATGAACAGATCCAGATGGAGAGAGAGGTGAAATAATGGAGGAAGAGTCGGTCAGTGACGGTGTCCGTCACTCCCCTGCTTCTCATGTTTCCTTAACCCGCCCTACATTGTATGCAAGGGGGGGGGGGGGGGGGGGGGAGCACAAAAAAAGACCTCATGATTGCCACCCGGACGCTGGCAGAACTCGACTTTTATTCCTCTAATACCCAGGGAACACGCTCCTGCTTTAGTGCCATGGAGGCTCAAGGGCGGCACCTGAAAGAGAAAATGCTTTTAATGTTTTTTTGTATTTTTTGTAATTTAATTTGGTATTTTGCTTTTTGTTCAGTCATGTATTTATATCAATGTTTTAATGATGAACCTTTATTAAAGTCCTATTTGACTTTCTGATTTGTTTGTGGCTGTTTAAAGTTCATGCAGTTCAACTCATGTGTGACAGGTATAGGCCTTTTTTATAATAGTAAGAGTACAAATCTGCAACTCTTTTTTTATAATCCGTTGTCATTTTGATGCATTTTCTTTGGTGGTTTCAATTTATGAAAGATTTACTTAAATAATTTATAATTGCAATAAGGACGATTAACTTAATTAAAACTCTCTATGCAGAAGAATGGCTGTTGTGATTGTTATACTGTTATCCATTATAGGCCACCACTTGACTGATATTATTCATGCATTTATGTAAGAGCATTTTACTGTTTTATGTGGAGGTCATTATTATAGAATAATCTACTGCATATGCTCTCATATTATTTATTGATTGTCACATTTACTCAAAGTGACACAAAGCGAGTTTTGTCCAAATTATTCAAATAAATTACAATTATTCAAAGGAAAAGCACCTAATCTTAATTTGTTAAGTTTTTTAAGATGTCAAATGAATATAATGCATTAGGATGAACACTTTTTCCCTCTGAGATGTAAGATAGAGTATCTCAGTTTTGTATTTTCACTTGAGCAAATGTCCTTTTTTTTATTACATGACAGCAATGGAATGTGACTATTTGATGTTCAAATTAATATCACTTAAAACAAATATGTGAGCTATTTTTAACAGCCATATTTACACAGCCAGGGGTCTTTGCCCGGCTGGTCCTTCTCTCCAGCCCCAGAGACACGCCTCCTCTCCCGGGTCCGTCCTCCGCCAAGCTCCGCCCTCCAAAGATTTTACCCTCCTCCTCCTCCTCCTGTTCTTCAGCCATCGAATAAACTTCAAAGCCGACTTCACAATCATTTACAGCAGTCTGGTTTATGTTTTCACACCGAGGGATGCTGTGAGGGGAAAGCAGCTGAAGTTAAGCCGGAATGCGGAGGTGTTTACCGGCTGAATCCTGAGACGTTAGCGGGGAGATGCGTTCATAGCAGACGGTAGGAAACTAGCACAACTATCCCTCTTTTTCCTTCGCTTGGTCGCATGGACTACCAAACAATCACGGCCTGAACCTCCAGTAGAGAGATCTTAGTTTTCTGTATTCAAACCCTAATATGCTTTATTCTCACGAAATATGAAAATAAGTGCGTTTAGCACTGATTTTAGTGCTTATTTTTGCCTAATTTAAAGCAAACTTTCCCGAAAACCGCAAACTGAAGTTCAGACCGTTGACGTCACGTCCTCTAGAGATAGAAGATACCTCTGTCGCATATAAATAAATAATACAAACAAAAAAAGCATTTAAAGCAGTTTCATTTACAAGTCTTCAAGCAACCTATTAAAAAATATATCTTCTATTAAAGCTAAATGTCCATTATTTTCTACTACCTAAGCAATGTTTTCCACTTCCATTTGTATTTTTTAGCTCTAACGTAAACTACTAATCTACTATCAAAACAATTGGCCATTAATGTTCTATTAGTGGAGCTCAACAACTGATATATATAATCATAAACAAACATTTCTGATAAAGGATCCCTTAAATTAGTATTTAAAGAATTTTGACTTTGATTTTGTACTGATACGTCGTTATTTTACTATCTAAAAGGGTAGCTGTCTCTCTAATTCATCTCCAACGTAATGGATAGGTTTTTCTGTACTGCAAATAATTATTGGCCAACATATACTACTTTTTACATTTTTTATCTATTTATAGTTTTCTTTAAATGTACATTTGACACTGGAAAACTTGGGTTATAAAAGAAAAATGACATTTATCGTGTAGCTGTTATTTTCAGTGTACAGTTACTCCACAAAGTCTATGTTACGTCTTTGACTCATATAGAAGTAACTAACATAAGTCATGTATGTGTTTTTTTTGGTGTACATGTTACTGGAAGATGCATGTTTCTATAAAAGAGTTTGTAATTAATGTGGGATGGGCCTATAAAGAGAGCATTGTTGGTTCTTAATTACAGAAAAAGACTAAAATTGGCATAATTTAAAGCAAGTGCGTTTAAAAAAAAAAAAAAAAAAGCCTGTACACAATAAACAGTATGTGTGAATGTTTGTGTTCACTGGTGTATTGCAGGTACACATCTAGAGCTCCTCTGTTCTCCTGCTAGTTGAAGTGGTAAGTTTACCTCTTGTAATTTCTGGGTGGTTTCAGCATGACATGACATGTAGAACTAAATGTTTACCGTCAGTGGGATTTAACGAGAAACTAAGAGGTTGTGAACTACAGTATGATGTCTGTGGTGACATCATACTGTAGTTTGTAGTGTGGTGATGTTTGTGGTAACATAAACAACCTGCAATAGAGGAAAGAAAACCTAACCATAGCCAGTCTTTGTGATGTATAGTATACTTGTAAATGAAGCAATCTAGATTAAAACGTTGTTATGACATAATTGTGACTCTTTTTTTGTTTTTTATTAAATACTATACTATTACTTTTTTTCCATGACATATTTTTGCGATGTTTTTTCCCTTTTATCATATACTATTATTCCATATATATTGCAGTGCCTGGCGATTCAATCATGGCTCGAGGTTGCATCTGCTGCGTTAAATACATGCTCTTCCTCTTCAACCTGCTCTTCTGGGTAAATATTTCACACACAGCCAGAAACTTTTACTAAACATCAAAAACAGATCAGAATGCCAGCCAAAGTGTTTCATTATCAATAAATCAACAGGAAGTGTGTGAGTTTCCTGTGTTTGTGTGTTTCAGCTGGGGGGGTGTGGGCTGCTGGGGGTGGGGGTGTGGCTCTCGGTGTCTCAGGGCAGCTTCGCCACCCTGTCGCCCTCCTTCCCCTCGATCTCCGCCGCCAACCTCATCATCACACTGGGCACCGTCGTCATGGTGACCGGTTTCCTGGGTTGCCTTGGGGCCATCAAGGAGAACAAGTGTCTGCTTCTGAGTGTGAGTAAACTACACTACCCATGAGGCATCACTGTTTCGCATTGATATGAATGAAACATTCTGCTTTTTCTTTCTCTGGTTGAGTTTAAAAGACACTTTTATTTAATTTTTTCTCCAGTTTTTCATCGTTCTGTTGATCATCCTCTTGGCAGAACTTATCCTCCTCATCCTGTTCTTTGTCTACACGGACCAGGTAAGACTCCATGAAAGAACATTATGTATTTATTAACCAATCATCTCATGCTGTGGGCGAGTATGACCACCTTTTTTTTTGTTTGCCCAGGTGAGTGATAATGCCAGACGGGACCTGAAAGAAGGCCTGGTGCTGTACAACACTGATAACAACGCTGGTCTCAGGGATGCATGGAACACCATACAGGGAGAGGTATGCTATTAACCATTGCCATTTCTTTCATTTGTATGTAATGGAATTACAAATCTCAAAGTTATAACTTTTTTAAATAAACTAAAAATAAATTTTTAATGAAAAAACACTATACTTTATACTATAAAGTTTATAGTATTATATATTATACTTTATGATATACTATGACTTTAAAAAAATGTTTTTGATATGCTATTCTATGATATTGTGTTATACTATGAACATTCTTTTACTTTTTCATGACAAACTCTACTATGACTTATATGGACTTATTTGTACTTTGTTGACACTATGCCTTTTTTTGCATTTGTATTACTTGCTATCTATTACTTTTTTATGTCATTAAATTGCAATTAATATAGTATATTTTTGTCCTGTTTCCTTCTCTCCTGCCTGTGCACAGTGGCGGTGTTGCGGTGTGAACGACCACAACGACTGGTTCATCGCCCTGCATGATAACGGGGTTCCTGACCGCTGCTGCCAGCAGGTTTACCCGGGCTGCGGACGCAACGCCACCAACACCTTCTGGACACGGGTCAGTGGGTTTATCTGTGGCTACGAAGTCTTTGAAGTTGTGATAAAGTTGTGCCGTGACAAGTTTATAAGAGTCAAAACATATTGTTGTCTGAATATAAACAAAAGCAAAAGTCACACAGTGTTTGCTTTAAACTTTCTGATTTGTCATTTGTCTTTTATTCCTAAATACTGTTGATGTGGGCTTCCATTCAGGGTTGCTATGAGAAGGTGGAGCAGTGGCTGGATGACAACAAACACCTTCTGGGAACCATCGCCATGTGTGTGTTGGTTATACAGGTAAGCAGATCTTTATCGCAGGCTGCAAACGGCACATATGTTATTGTATTGTAATAACATTGAAAAGACATAGAATAGTAAATGTCAGAAAAAATGTCATAGTATGTTGAAAAAACGCCATAGTATGTCGAAATTTCAGAAAACTATTTTGGATAAATAATTCATTGTATATTATAGTATAGTATGTTAAAATAAACATCATCGTATAAAATGTCGAAAAAAACGTATAGTATGTCAAAAAAGCATCATGGTATGGTATGTCAAAATTATCAGAAAAAAGGTCCTTGTATAGTTGTTTTTTTTCGACGTACTATACTAAAACTTTTTCAGAAATGTTCGACATACTATGATATTACGTTTTTTTATGTGTAATATTTGCAATTAGTTTTTTTGACATACTATAAGTTTATGTCCAAAACTGGAAATATGTCTAGAAAAATGTCATTGACATTTGTCGAAAAAAACCTCATGGTATAGTATGGCGAACATTTCAGAAAAAAAGTCATTAGTATAGTATGTCAAAAAGAAGTCATAGTATAGTATGTTGGAAACATCATATTAATCAAATCAAATCAAGTTTTATTTATATAGCACATTTTGAAAACGATTTTTGGCCGAGCCAAAGTGCTGTACATATAATAATTACCTTACAGTAAGGACACTTTACAGCAAATATAACAGCACAGTTTATACATTAAAGTGTATAGTATGTTGAAAAAAACCATCATGATGTAATAAATCGCACAACATTGTATGAGTTATTTCAAAGATTTTTAATACATACTATCTCATAGAAAAGTAAAAAGTAGAATTGTACAATTCTTTTTTTTTCTTCTTTTTAACACGTTTTTCTTTTCCCAGCTCCTTGGTATGGCTTTCTCGATGACACTCTACCAGCAGATCCACCGAGCGGGGAAGAAGTATGAAGCCTGATGATCGTCCCAGACTGTTACCATGGTTTCACAAAAGAGTTGTCACGTGTGCCACTATAGCCTTAAATCTCACATTCTCTCTGTCTATTAATGTAGTATTCCATGTGGTAGCTTTTTAAAAACACACTTTAATGCATGTTTTTATGTGTAATATTTGCAATTTGTCTCGGCCAATTGAACACAGGTAAAGTGGAAGAGTGGGGAGAATTTATTTTTTGGGGTTGTTAAACTCTGCCTGTGGAAAAATATATGATGTGTGTACATTTAGATAAAACAAGTATTGTGTACTAACATGTTCAATAAAAGCACTCTTCACATTTGTGATGTTTCTGATAATTTACTTTTGTTTTGTTTGGTCCTGCAAAATGTCAAACTACAGAAAAAAACATTATATGTTAAAAAAAATTGCATATGTCGAATTATAACAGAAAAAACATCAAAGTAGAGTATGTCCAAAATAACTTCATAATTTAGCATTCTGAAAAAGAACGTTATACCATAGCGTGTATAAAATGTCATAGTATAGTATGTCAAAAAAAAGCTTGTATAGTGTGGCAACATTCTTCAGACAATTGTCACAGTATAGCATGTCGATTTTTTTCAGAAAGAAATGTCAGTATAGTACATCAAAAGTTCCAGAAAAATACTTAATATTATATAGTATGTCAAATTAATAGAAAAAAAGTCTTATTATAGTATGGCCAACATTTCTGAAAAATGACATAGTATGTCGAAAAAATTTCAGAAAGAAAAATCATAGTATACTATGATGAAAAGAACCAAAAAAAGGCCAGTGAAGAAAAATGTCCTACTATAGTATGTCAAAAAAAACATCATAATATAGTATCATAGTATAGTATGATAAAAAATACTTCATATCATAGTGTCAAACATTTCTGAAAAAAGGTCAGTATATTATGTTAAAAAAAGTAATTGCATAGTACTTCAAAAATGTCATAAAAAACATAATATAGTATGTCAACTAAAAGTCACAGTATAGCAGGTTGAAGTAAAATGTGATTATGGTCTAAATTATAAGACTACTAAGCATTGTGTACGAATACCTTAAATAAAACACTCTTCACAGATGTGATGTTTCTGATGATAACTGATTCATTACTTCAGTTTTCTTTGCTCCTGCAATCTTTACCCTGTGGTTCTAGTATCAGCTCTCACCCTGACGGTCATGCAGCAGCTCGAAGATTGCAAACAGATAAAAGCAGGGTGAGCACCAGGTCAGGTCACACATTAACAAAGGTCACATCATGCCAATCAATTAGCTGTGTGATTACTTTGCTGGATAATTGTACCTGTTTCTGAGGTGATAATGACATTCCTGCAACTGAATGAAGGCAGGCTTTGCTCTGATTAATGAAACAGAGATAGTTGAATAGAGAAGTGGATTTTAATCAACAGGTAACATGACATTTATCTTAAATCATGTGTTTGACAGATAGTAATAGATGATTCACCTCAGTCACTTTCTTTGACAGGCAGCATACACAATAACGTCTTAGTGACAACAACAGATTTAAAGGTCAATATTAGCAAAGAAACACTTTTACATTTTGGGAAATACAGGGAAATAATAAGGCCAAGATATTTCCAGAAATGTCAAAGTGTTACCTTAAAATCCTAAAGCTGTGGATCGGCCACTTCACTTGTCTTATGGTTACAAGTCCAGAGTTTTGTCGTTATCAACAACGATGTTTCCTTTGATGATCACGTAGCGGATCAGCTCCTGATGCCCCCCCAGCTGGTAGATCAGATGCTCCCATCTGCAACAGAACACACAGGGGAGATCAGCGTTACACTCATACATGCTAACTTTCTCAAATAAGTGAAAATGATGCTTAAAAAATATATAATTAAAGTGTCTTATGGAGCACACCATACTTGGTCACAGTTGTGTCATGAATTCTTTTAAACAATTTATTGGAGGTAATTCTGTTTTTTTCCTAAAGATTTCATGTCATATGACCTAAAGATTCCAAATCAATGCAACAAGTAAAACACACCTCAATTTATTAGAGTTTGGTGCTTTTTCTATTTGATATGAATATGTTAATGAACATTAAGCATGTTTACATCTACCTTTCCTTGATAATTGTAGTTGTCTCAAACACTTAGTGTCATTATAAAAGACTAATACTGTTCTGTGGGTGTAACTCTTGACTTGATGTACCGTGTGGTGTTGAGGACCAGCAGGTCTCCGTGCTTGTTGACCTCCAGGGAGCCGTGTGTGTGGGAGCACCCCAGGGCGTAGGCTGCGTTGATGGTGGCCGCAGCCAGAGCCTCAGGCATGGACATCCTCATGTTGACACAGGCCAGGTGCATGACAATCGGCTGGGGGGGGGGAGGGGGGAGAAGAGACAGAGAGAGGTAAACACTAATAATCGCATCATAGAGACAGAGATGAGTTTTACCCACCATGCAACACTACTCACCATGGAGCAGCAGTAGGCGTTAGGGTTGAAGTCGCTGCCGAGGGCAACAATAACTCCAGCTTCCAACATGTCCCTGGCCCGGGGCTGAGGCAGCCTACACACACACACACACACACACACACACACACACACACACACACACACACACACACACACACACACACACACACACACACACACACACACACACACACACACACACACACACACACACACACACACACACACACACACACACACACACACACACAACACACACACACACACACACACACTTTTCATATGCATTTTTTTATGCAATGTATTTCCAAAGTCACTAAAGCTGTCAAATACATTTAGTGGGTTTAAAAATACAAATATTCTGCACTGTATTAATTGCTATGCTGCTGATCACCAAGACAAATTCCTTGTCTGTGCCAACCTACTTGGTAATAAAAACCTCATGATATAAAAACCAAATACTACATTTTCACTTAAGTAAATGTACTTAGTTACTTTCCAGCACTGGTGATACAGTACCTAAGGATGTAAGCTGTCGTTGGTAGAAGGACGGCGGCGGTTCTCGCTGTTGCCATGGCAGCGATCCCCTGGTCTGTGACCTCCTCCAGGTGACTGATGGCTGAGGCTCCGAGCTCTGCACCCAACTGACACACACACACACACACACACACACACACACACACACACACACACACACACACACACACACACACACACACACACACACACACACACACACACACACACACACACAGTAAAACAATGATAGTGCTCAAAACGTCCTGGTAACATCTTTGAAGTTTTGGTATGTTGGTCTCGGACATTTTTCACATTACCCCTTATTTTTTGGAGCTTATATTTCAAACACCATATAAATAAATCACCAAAATGTTGAGTTTAACAACATAACTGATGAAAACAAAACTTAACTCAATACAACTGCTGTATGAATATGTACTTGTGTTAGTGGATTTTCACATCTTTAGATCACCAGACAAAGTAAACCAGTTGTTGAATCTTAGCCAATAAGCTGTTTAAATGTAAAATACTATACAAACTATTTGTGGGCAGACTATGCAAATACAGTTTTACCAGTAATAGAAATAGAATATGTCTAAGATGGGAAGTTCCTCTTTCTTTAAAGTGACCAAATAAACCTCAATGCTACCTGAGCAGAGTTCATGGGATGGAGCTCGTCTCCATGGAAGTTGATGTTGAGGCCCAGGTCCTTGCCGGCCTGCAGGATGCGGCGGGTGGAGCTCAGGTCAAACACCCCCTCCTCACAGAACACGTCGATGTTGTCCACCCTCAGAGTCCCTGCAGACATCTGCTCCTTCAGCCTGGGTAGCTGCACCTGCAGGATGTCCTCCGTGGCCTCCTCCACTGTTTTCCCTCTGAGTTAAAGAGAGATAGTGTTCGCTGGAAAGTGTGATGGAAACTTCTGAAGCAACGAGACTCGAGGAGAGCTGGAGCTTTGATGGCAAACACTGATGGTTTATTTGGAGCTTCGGCCGGAGAATTCACAAGACATGTGCTGCCAATTCTGAAGATCTCTACCCCAGTCCCATGTATTTAGCTGTTTCTGAGAGAATAATCAACATTGTGCATAACAAGATAAAGCAGTATAACACCTCTATCAGCTGACGCCAACAGGCAGGAACAGGGAGACAAAACACTGAGAGCACAGCAGCCCAAGGTAGTACAAACTGATTACACTGACTATAACACTCATGTGCAATATATATATATGCCGTTAAAAACTGTGCAATATATACCTGGCTGCTAAATCCTCAGAACTGTTACAGGATGTGTTTTTTGTAAATTGTGTAACTTTTTATTTTTGTATCTTATATATATATATATGCATGCTACTTGGGTAACCTTAAGCTGTCTTTGACTCTTTTCTGCTGTAACAATGTACATTTTCCCTCTGTGGGACTAATAAAGGTATTCTGATTCTGAAAGGTGTGGGCCGAGGAAAATATTTCCCCAACAGAGTTATTGTCAGCTAATGTGAAATTAGATATTGATAAGCATCCTCACTTAGGCACTGCGTGGGCCCCGCAGTAGGTGGAGGAGATGTTGATGGGCAGGGTGTTTCTGGCCTCCTCGATGACCTGCAGCATCTTCAGCTCCGTGTGCAGGTCCAGGCCGTAGCCGCTCTTACACTCCACCAGGGTGGTCCCGGCCCGCTGCATCCGGAGCAGTCTGCTGCTGAGGGAGGAGAGCAGCTCAGGGGGGCCGGCAGCCCGGGTGTGCTCCACCGTGAAGTGGATCCCCCCCCCGGCCCGGTGCACGTCCATGTAGGAGGCGCCCGCCAGCTGCAGGAGATACAAGAGATCAGAGTACTGTATGTGTCAGGACAGTTGCTACATTTTTACAAGATAGAAATTACAGTAATAATTTGCAATACAAATAAAATATCCAAAATTAAAGAATTGAACAAAATGAAAAGATGTATATATAAATATGAAGGAAAAATATTTAATAGAGATAAGAGAGAATAAAATAGAATAAAGTATTGAAAAAACATGAGAAGTAAAATGTCCATATAATTAAACAGGATATACTGTCATGTGGTGGTGAGTGACGGTGGTAAGCACTTTATCTTAATTTAAAAAAACATATTGTCAAAATATATTGAACACAAAGGTTTACCTTCATTGCAAATTCATGCACCCTGTCACCAGCCCAGACTGGATGAGTGTGAGCATCAACCAACCCTAAAACAACATCAAAATACAAATCACACATAGCATCTATTTGAAGAAAAGCTGCAAATATACAACACAACATCTCTCATTTCTTCACAACTGTAAATAACAGATGCACTTTTTGTGATTGTAAACTATTTCACATGATGTTAAATCTCTTTTCTTTCTCATGAAA